AGGGCAGTGTCACTGGCCCTCATATGTGGGATCCGAACCGGGGCCCTCTGGCGTCCCAAGCCAGTTCTTAACCAACGCGCCACTCGGCCGGCCCTGATCATTGTATTTTTGAAAACACGTTCTTTCGTTAATTTGAGGCTACCTTTCTTTCCTCTCCCCTTTACTCAGCTTCAGTTTATTGAACACCTATCCTTTGCCAGGCTCTGTGCCAGGCTCTGTGCTCCCTTTTGGGACGAGGGTTAGGTCCAGGCAGAGGTAAGTCTGTAGGGATCTTTTGAGGGTTGGTGAGACCAAGAGGTGAGACCAGAGGTAGAGGGCACAGAAGGAAAGCCACAGCTTTTCATTTCTATACATCCTTTTCTGACCATTCTTTGGAGGCTGGGTGTTCCCTAGGACTTTGTCCTTGTCCTTTTATTGACTCATCCTCACCCTCTGTCTTCCCCTCACTTCTCTTTTTTATTGTTCTTCCTGAGATCATTCATTCCCCGTGACATCAACATTTCTTCATATGTTGATTCTAAATCCACAGGTCTGTTTTTTTCTCTTTAGTGCTGAGGATATTTTCAGTGATCAAGAGACATTTTAAGCCCAATGTGTTAAAGCTTAACTTTCTATTCTCCCTCCACAGTTCCTCTTCTGCTCCTCCACCTTTCACTCCTTCTCCCTTCACTGCTGTATTTGTCATTTTAGTTAATGGCACTGCTATCCCTTCATTGTCCCAAGCCAAAAATCTAAAAGTCATCCCATATTTTTCCTTGTTCTGCCCCTTAACATGTGGGCTATTTATAAATTGTGTCAATTCAACTGTAGAAACATTTCTAGACTCCAGCTCCACCTGCTTGTTGTCACTACTCCCCCATCTCTTTCCATGCCAGTCCATGCTGTAAGGGCAACTGTCCTAAAAACTCTGACGGTATGCACTTGTGTAGAGAGACACAAGGGAGCAATGCCAATGGACAAGGGGAGGGGACTAGATTCTTATCATACCATTCTCCTGCCTTCCCGTTACCTACAGGATCAACCACAGGGTCTTGACCATAGTGGTGCTCTGTGTCGCCTCATTTACCAAGTGGGGATAATGATAATCCCTGCCCATAGAGTTATGGTGAGGATTAAATGAGAGGATATATGTCAAGTGCTGAGCACAAGGTCAAGTATCCAATAAATGATAGTGATGATGATGGTAATGGTGAAGATGATGACTTCTTTTAGAATCCATCTCTTATCTATTTTGCCAGTTCCATATCACACCACACTACTCTACAGCCCCTGTAATCTGGTTGCCATGACTGTCACTGCTCCCCAAAGCTTTCCTTCCCTTTCACAACACTTGGTCTTTCCACATGTTGCTCCTTTTGCTTGTCCTTACCTCATTTTATTGAGCAGACTCTTCTTTTTCTTTCAAATGGATTTAACTTGGAATCGTTGTCTCTAAGCAGAGTTTTAGTGACTCTGCAAAGCAGGTTTGGTGACTTCCTTCCCTCTACCTCCATAGTTCCCAATCCCTACTTCTATCATAGCCCTGAACTTGCCATTCTAGTGATCTTTCCATGTATCTGTTTGTCTTGTCTTCCCTAGACTGGGGGCTTTTGAAAGACAGAGATGGGCTGATGATCCGTGCCTCCCTCTACCCAGCCCAAATTTGATATAGAATAGGCACCTGATGAGTGTTTGATGTATGAACATCAGTAGGGATGGCTCTTGAATTTGTGGAGAGTTAAAAATGCATTAAAAATGAAAACAATAACAGCTTTCCTTTTTTGAGCATTAACTTTGTAGCAGGAGGCACTGTGCTAATTTCCTCATAAGCATGAGCTGATGTAGTTTGCCGAATGGTCCTATGAGTTATCCTGATTGTCCCAGTTTATAGATGGGATTAGAGAGGAGGGGAAATTGCTGGAGGCAACAGAATTAGCAGGACCAAACCCAGCCCTCTGACTCCAGGGCTGGTGGGGGATAGGGAAGTAAGAAGAGAAAGGAATATGGCCAAGCCATGGGAGGCAGGTTTGGGAGAGAAAGGCAAGATGAGGAGAAGGAAGGTGAAAATGCACAAAGGAGGCAGTGAAAGCAGGCTAGGAAAGGAAGAGAAAGGAAACTAGAAGACTAAGCTGGAAAATGAGCAGGGGATAAACAAGAGGAGGAGGGGGAGGCAGGGCTCCCCCCATTTTGTGGCTGGGTAATCGCTGCATGCTTAACAGAATATAAACAGACTTCAATGTTGACATGATAATGCACAACAGTATCAATCTGATGTATATTATACGGGAAACAGAATAATTTATTTTTGAGGCATGGCAGTTAGATGTAATTGCTAAGCAATACATACATTTGGCTGTGCTAACCACGACTTTAACAAACACAGGTATACACACACAGACTGGCTTTACTTTTTTTTTTACTTCTACTTTTGCCCAATATCTACAGTTTGCAAGCACTATGCCTCTTGGCAGCTGTCACTGACACTAAATATGATGAAAACATTATCTACACCTCCCACCTTCCCATCACACTCAAAGCTGCACATATGCAGGACAGAGGCTCAGGTTGATTCCTGATCCCTTACTGGCTCACCTTCCAAGGCTGAGATTTCCTTTTTCTGGGGTGTTAGCGCTGTGCTTCAGCACCCCCATTCCTCAGGGGCCTGGCCTGGGGACCCCAGGGAATATTCTTGGGCTGGTAGGCATGGTTGCCAGCAAATGTGACTTGTAAGATCATCATGTCCAGGGGTGGGAGGACTCACTGAGGCTTTGCTTTTCAGCCTCTGGGAACTTAAGGCCACAGGGGAGGAAAAGGCACAGGTAGGAGCAGAGAAGATGGAGGACATCAGGAGGAGAGAAGGGGCTGGTTCCATAATCCATTACAGCTTTTCATCCTCAGAGTCCACTATTCCTCAAGCAAGTGGGCATTTCAAGTTTCTTTTAAGTTCACCCTGGTTCTGGCTCCCAGGAAGTCCCCCTCCTGGTGGGTCAGTCCTCAGAGAGAAGGTGGGTCGGGTTGGGAAACAAATACTGCAGTGAGAAATACAAAGAAAAGCTAGGGAAACAGGGAAACGAAACTGATTCTGTTTACTGTATCTCAGACCTTCACTGATAGAAAAGTTCTTCAAAAGATGACTTTTTCTTTACCCCAACATCCTTTAGAGGTGGAGCAACGGTCAGCTGGGGTATTTTGGTGAGTTGATAAATGTGCAAGAATGAAAGGACTAAATTTCACTTTCTCAAAATGAAACTAGAATCTGCTACATTGTATGAAGCCTTCTTTTTTTTTTTAAGATTTTTTATTGGGTAATTGGGGGGATGGGAACAATGCTGGGGAAATAGGGGAAGGGGAACAGACAAGTTGCTGTCCTTTTGTTTTTCAGTCTAGTTGTGGAGGACGTTGCTTCACTGGCCCAAGCTGGCACCATCATTGCGCTCTTCCAGGGTGAGGCAGATCAGTTGCTGGCTTCTGGACGGCCGCTCACTGCGGCTGCTGGCCGCTCACGCTGGCTGCTGGCTACACACGGTAGCCCATGGCAACCCACTGCCACAGGGGCTGCAGCCCACGCCATCGCCGGCGACCCACGGCAGCCCAGCTCCAGGTTGAGCTGTTGTTCAGCATCTTAGCTGTGGAGGGCAGTGTCACTGGCCCTCATATGTGGGATCCGAACCGGGGCCCTCTGGCATCCCAAGCGAGTTCTTAACCATCGCACCACTTGGCTGGCACTGAATCTTCTTAAATTTGCCTAATTGCCACTTTTGCAAGGAAAAGATTGGGTTGGAGGAAACATGGACCTGAATGTAAACTCTTAATGATTCTTATTCAAGATCATTAATAAGAGATAACTTTCACAAATCTTATAGAAATATTGTTTATGTCATACTACAGTAATTATATTATCACTCTGGGTTAATTATGAAGAAGAGAATATTTTCTACAAAAGCAAAAATGGCTAAAATGGATTTCTTCAATGTCTTTAAAATCAAAGTTTCCCAGGACACTTTGGAAGTGGTACTAGAGAAATTAAAAGCAATGAAATAGCTGCATGGCTTAAAGGTAATTTTAGGAAGAATATGGTATTGCTTTATGCTTGATTATCCAGGGGTTTTTAAAATGAGAAGCTTTACAGAAGGATGTAAAATAAGAGAGGGGGAGGGGTTACAGCGTTATTTTCTCTTTAGCTACCTTTATGTTTCACAAATATATTTAGATTCATCTTTTGTACTGGTTATCTGTTAGTACTAATTCCTCAAAGCAATCTAGCAAACCAATAAAAAGAAAGAAAGAGTTGGCCAGTGGCCAGTACTCTTATTAACTTCCTGAGAGATTGAATTTCTTCTGCCTACATTTTCATTGCCACCTGTCATGGTGTAGAGTCCCTTGTGCCATCTTGCTTAAAGAATCACTCTTGCTTTTGCCTGCTTTAGGGACTCTGGGCCCATGAAAACAGAACATGTTCACCTAGTCCCCAGAGAGAGTTTTCAAGCCCTAACTAGTTAGGTTAGAACTCTCTGATGAGCCCGAAACTTCTGGCCAGATGGGGCCACCACATATAGACACCATTGTCACAGAATCCATTCATTCTTCTCCCTTCTGTCATTTTGTATCTGTTGTGACTATTTTTTTATTTTTTTGGAACAAAGAAAGTTTATTTTCATGGATGAAAAAGTGGGTTTTTCATCCGACTGTTTTGAGGCCTTACCTCAAAAAGTCCTTTTTGTGAATCTTGTTTTATAGCCAGAGTGCCTCCTCTTGTTTTCTTCCCCCAAGATTTGCTCATTTCCCCCTTCTTTCTCATGCTCTTCAGTTTGCTTGCAACACTCTTTCTAGTGTTAGCCCAATATTGCTCGTCCTTTGAGATTCTTGCTAGGCTGGAGGTGGGGGTACACAGGAGGATGGGGACCAGCCAGAGGGAGGGGGAAGCCAAGAAAGCCTCCAGCTTGGGGAGATCTAGGCCATTCTGGTACTTGGGGCTGAAGTCTGGGAAGAGATAGTAGCTAAAAAGTAAAATGTATTTTAGCATCTTCCTTCTAGCAAGGAAGACTTTGTTCCATTCCTTTTCTTTCTTTTTTTTTTTTGAGCAAAGCAGCAATATAAAATTGGGTCCTTTGCCACAGATCATGCCTCTTCCCTCCAGGGCACAGCTCTTTCATAGCCCTACATGCCCCCAGGTTGGTGATAAAATCACAAAATGTGGGGTCTAGAACCTGCCTTGGGGGTTTACCTAATTCAACTCATCAGGGCCAACTGCCAGGGGGGTAATTAAAAAGACCTGAGACTCTTAGCCCTTTGAAAGTTTAAATTATACCATTATGATTGTGTGTTTCTTGTGTAATCCTCAAAGATTTGTAATTGTGACAGCCTAAGAAAATACAGGTGACTGGAAGCAATTTAATGATAATAAAAATAAAATAAAAACAGTAAACAGCACTGCTGCTCCCTCTAATTTTCTAGCATCTTTATCATATAAATGCCTCCCATTCTTTTCCCCACAGATGATTAATGAATCTGCAATTGCCACACTGCATGCTGTGTGCACTTGTCTTTAATTATCTTCCTGCTGCAGCTCCAACTCCAGGGGAAGCCCTTTCCAGTTCCAATGCCAGGATCCTCCCAGGGCCAACCAGGCTTCAGGGACAGCCATAGGAGAGGCACCTGGACCTCCTCTGTCGACCAGACTTTCCTCCCTTGCTCTTCACCTCACAGGCCCAGAGCTGGCTTCTCCAGCCAAGTTTCTCCAGGAGCCCTGCTGATCTGACCTTGTTCCATTCTTCTTAGAGATTGAGGACATCAATCATTCTTTCATTTAGCTAATGTTTATTGAGCATTGCTATACGTCAGGTATGCATTAGATACTGGGGATACAACTATGGACCAGACAGATGAGGTCTCTGCCCTACTGGAGTTTGTGGACTAATGGGGAAACAGCCAATATAATAGGCAAATGTGTTCTCGAGTGATAGGGGCTCTGAAATGGGAAGTTTTGGATTCTGTGGGAGCACATAGGAGGTGATCCTATCTCTGATTTGGGAAGTTAGGAGAAGCCTCCTAGAGGAAGCAATGTATGAGCTGATATTGGAAAGAGGAGTAGGAGTTGGTCAGGTGAAAGTGCTGTTTGGCAATGGGATTGATGGTAACAGGCAGAGGGAAGCGTGTGTGGAGGCCCTCAGACAGGAAGAAGTATAGACGTGAGGAATGCAGGCAGTGAGGAGAGTGATGGGAAATCAGGATAGAAAGATGAGCAGGGACTAGGCTACAGAGGGTCCAAGGAGTCATGTTAGAATTCCATCTTTTTTTCTAAGGCCAATGGGAGATAATTGGAGGGTTGTAAGTAGGGACATGACATGATGTCATTTACCTTTTCTGAGGATGACTCTGGCTTCCATGTGGACCTTGGTCCATAGGGGGCCAAGGCCGGAGCAGGGGAACCTGTTAGGAGGAGTGCAGGAGAAAGGCAATCACTGGCCAGCTGTCATGTCCTAGAGGCAGCTGCTGCCTGGGGCTGCGGTGGGAGGAGTAGTGAGGACAGGGAGCGGGGATTGTCTTGGGCATCCTTGGTGGCAGTTGGTAGAAGGTGTAGGAGGAGGAACAGAAGCATTATTGATGGGTTATGTTTGAGAACCTGTCCCTGCTTCTAGAAGCACCTGGCAGCAGCACCCCCATCTACTTGCTCAGATTTATCAGTTTTAGAAAAGCAGTGGGTCCTCCCAAATGTCAATGAGCCCTATTTGTCAGGCTGTGCCCTTAGTAAGCTGTTGCTTTTCCTGGAGGTGGTGGGTGGGAACTCACAGACCTGGGGGCATGACAGGGAGAAATACTGGTTTCAGGGTTTTTAGACTCTGAGAAGTTTGCAGTGGAGCAGTTGGTTTTGACGAAATTCCTGTGCATCTTACTTTCTGGTAACTACTAAGCCATAAGCATTGTTCTTCCTCTTTTTTTTGGTCTCCATATGACTGACCAGCTTCTTTAAGTATGTTTACTGCATCCTGTCACACCACGTCTTTGAGCAGAAAGCAAATAAGTCATTTCTTTCTAACTGAAAGAGTAAGCATTTAGTACTTCTGCATACCTTGTTGTATGTTTGCTAAGATGCCTGAGAGTCCATTTCCATGGTCTATTGGGTTCTAAATGCTTGAAGTCACTTGGTTTTCTCTTTAGTTAGTCTAAATCTGTAGTAGAGTTTACCATATGAAGGAAATTAGACCACATGTAGGGGAAAAAAAGAAAGGTAATAATGACATTATTCTGGCTTTTTAAATAATTACCAGGGGAAGATTATATACCTGAGAATAAATTGAGGAAAATTTTTAATTGTATTTTGTTTCTCTAGAGCCAGGCCAGTAATTTCCTCTCACACATAACTCCTGCAAGTTAGCAGTGGTTCCCAGCTCTGGCTGTCGGAAGGAATCACCTACGGCACTTGAATAAAAGGCAGATGCTGATACAAATGTCTAGTCACTATGTTGTACACCTGAAACTATTACAATGTTACATGTCAACTATTATTTTAAAAAGAGGCAGATCCTGGAGCTTCACCCCTGAGATATTCTGATTCATAAGGTTTTGGATATATTAGCAAATTTGTCTTAATTTAAATGCCAAACTGAAAATAGCACACTTGTGCTTACCTTAAGTTGTTCCATATCACCTCTATAGAATTCTAAATTATAGAATTATTTTTATCTAGTTATATTGAAGCCTAACAAATGGAATCTGCTGTTCCTTATTGTGCCAGTGACTTCCTACTCATCTAGATTTGACCAGGAAGAAAGTGTAAGGATGGAAATTTATGATTCATGAGCATTTTTCAAATGCTAATGTTGTATACTTTTCTTGTTTTCTTATGTAGGCCAGCTGCTGAGGCCTGGTGAAAAGTAATCAAGTGCAATAATGTTCTGCAGTAAAAAGAAATCACCTGGTAAGTATTGAGTTCTTCAGATGATACAAAGTGAATATGATTTTTAAATTAAATTTTATTTTGCAAAGGTGTAATTTATATATAAAAACCGCGCACATCTTAAGCGTTCATTTGATGAGCTTTGACTATTTTATACACCTACATACCTACTGCCTAAAAACAAGATATAGAACATTTCTATCACCCCAGAAAGTTCTGTTGTGCCCTTTTTCATTTATTCTCCCTGCACGCCACACAACCATCTTCTGATTTCTATCAGATTAGTTTTACTTGATTTTTATTTTTTTTAAGAAATTTTATTGGGAAACAATGTGTTTCTCCAAGACCCATCAGCTCAAGTCAAGTAGTTGTCTTCAATCTAGTTGTGGAGGGCGCAGCTCCTTGGCCCACGTGGAAATTGAACCCACAACCTTGGTGTTATGAGCCTGCGCTCTAAGCACCTGAGCTAACTGGCTGCCCCTAGTTTTACCTGTTTTTGAAACTGACATAAATGAAATAATACAGCACGCATTTTATGTCTTGCTTCTTTTACTCAGCATTAAGCTTTTTGACATGTATCTATATAGTTGCAAGTATCATTAGTTTTTCATTTTTTTCTTTCGAAGCAACATTACATTATACAAATACACCAACATTTAAAACTAAGCTCTCGCAATTAGAAATAATTTGGGTTCATGATGACTGGAAACACATGTGGTTTTCTTGTTTGGGTAATTGGTCTAGGTGAGCAGCGTTAACAATAGTTCGGTTTCTTTGATATAGCATCCTGGCCAGATAGTATTGATGTTCTCTTTTGTCTCTAGTTAGTCAGTGACAGACTATTATGTAATTTTTCCTTCAATGTACACGTGTTTAATTTATTACTGCTATTTTATTTATGTTTGACCATAGACTTTTTAGAGACTAAAGGCTGGATTAGAGTTTATCTAATGCCTTGTTTCTCCATCTAATAACATCTCTGACAGGTGATTAACTTACCTCGATAGGCAATTGTTTCATGGTGCAGTCCATTCCCTCTTTGGACACTTATTTACCGCAACATTTAGCTTCATAATGAGCCAAAATCTGTCGCAATGTAGTTCCCATTCAGAGGTCATTAGTTCTACCTTCTGGGGCAATGCTTTCATATTCGCAATGCCAATTTAAGAGTTTAGAATTATTGTCATCATTTTTTCTTTTCAAATGAAAGAAAACAAAAACAAAAACAAAACACTAGTATAGTCTTTTTTCTTTTCTTTCTTTCTTTCTTTCTTTCTTTCTTTTTTTTTTTAAAGATTTTTACTGGGGAATTGGAAAAGGGGAACAGCCAAGTTGTTGTCCTTCAGTCTTAGTTATGGAGGGCGCAGCTAGCTCAGCTCCAAGTCCAGTTGCCATCCGCTGCCCATTGGCAGCTCAGGGCAGCTCAGTTCAAGGTGCTATGTTCAATCTTAGTTGTGGTTGGGTGTAGCCCGCCATCCCATGCGGGAGTCGAACTGGCAACCTTGTTGCTAGGAGCACGTGCTCTTACCAGCTGAGCCATCATGCCACGTGTTGGCAGCTTAGCTCGGGTGCAGCTCACTGCTCATGTGGGAATCGAACCTGCGACTCTATTGCTCAGAGCTTGTGTCTTAACAAACTAAGCCACTTGGCTGGCCCCAACACTAGTATAGTCTTCACAGTGTAAACATGTGCTTCACCAGCTTTAACTGGGACAAGTTTCCAATAGGATTTATTGTTGTAGGTTTTGATATGTTTTGGTGACTTGGCTGGGTCTTTATCTGCTCTGGCACTGATCTGCAGAGAAAGCTGAGGCCAGTCCCTTTTTTTTGGACTTGTTACAATGGCTATGTGACTTGAGAGACCGACATTTGTGTCACCATCATTTGCATCACCATGATTGTGACTGATGCATCTTGAGGTTATATTAGTTCCTGTAGATCTGGTAATAGACTGGAGTGCTTTTGTAACCTAAAATATTCACTCATTTATGCAGTCGGCCAACAAACATTGTTTGAGTCCCTATGGTATGCTAGGTTAATGTCGACTTTTTTTGACTTCAAGTAGCTTTTTATGATTCAATAAAATACATGTATCCTCACACAATTGCTAAGTTTACAATAGCAATGATACTTAAAAAGAGTTTACTAAACATCATTATAAGTGGTATATTTGCCAGAGGAGCACAGACTAGAGACCTTCTAATCAACTTGGAGTTGTCAGGGGAAAAATCATGCAGAAGTGGTATTTTACCTTAATGAGATATTTAATATCTGCAACATTTAATTAAGGTGTACTTATACTGATAGAGACACAACATCATCAGGAACCCAGCTATGGTGTTCTGGGAAAACAATAATTTCCTCCCAGATATGCTTTATTTATTATCCCCATATTTGTATAAATCTCACCTGCTTCAAGATGTGAAAAATTCCAGCTAATTGACTCAGATATTTAAAATGTTATGATTACAGTCTATTTTCTGTTTGTTCTTTGTAACTCACCCTTGCTGTATAGCTACATGGGAGGCCCAAAGACAATCATTTTAAAGCATATATGTGCGTTTCTACAAAGCAATCAGGAAGCGGTTTGTTCATGTATAAAATACCTAATTAAGATTTCATGTAGTTTGGTAATATGGGAAGCAAAGGAGGTAGATAATTAAAAGCTTTCTTTAAATAAGCTAAAACTGTTCTTGACTCCAAAATGTTCGGTTTGTGGAGTCAGCATACACCACTCCACAGGGAAGCCCTTATAGTGTGTTTATGGGGCGTGGGGTGGGAAAAATCAGACCACAGTCACATTATGTCTTTCATAGGCCCGTCCTCCAAAAAACACTGAACATTATATTTTATGATTGTGGGCATAAAGACAAATATAATACAGGTTGAATTCATTATTATGTGTCCATTATTATTATATTTATCTTTTTCTCCTGACTTTTAAAATATTCTGAAAATTTAAACATTTTTGTGTTCCCCCCAAAGTATTGTGGGCCCCAAGCACTGCATCTACTGTGCCTACAAATGAGGCCATTCTTTGGTTGAAGTTTATATAACCACTTCCCAGGCATTTTTTTGAGCATATACTATTTAGCAGGCACCGGGTTGGTCCTGCAGTAGAGGGTTGGTGATAAAAATGATGAATAAGACATGGAACCTACCCTATAGGCAGCATATCAGTGCCTATAAAAGTACATGCATGTGTATTAGTATGTGTGTTTAAAGAGTTTTATTTCTCCTTGGGCTTATCACTTAATGGAACAACAACAACAAATCCAAAATCTGTTTCTCAGGTAGTTTTGCAGTTACACTTGTGAAGGAATTAGTTTTTGTTTGACCTTGCTTTTTGTCTACTATAGTAATTTGTCTGTGAAATTGGATCTAATTTTTTTGCTTCAAAATCATCTATTTTCTTAGTTTAACTAAAAATGAGGCCCATGAAATGAAGTGCCTGTCATCACTGGCCCATCAGTGACATACTTAAGACAGTGCTGATTTCATAAACTCTCTCTTGTAACTCTGGGATTAGCATCTGCTGGTGAATTCCCTTCTACATTCTAATAACTACTGGTGTCCAGAGAGGAAAGGGCATGGGACATTTTCTTTGGTACCATCAGAGAAAAGGTCCATTTTCTGGACCCCAGCACCATCTGACATGAGGCAAAGGGTGATGGGGGAAAATTACAGTGGAAGAGCTAATGGTCTTAGCCCTTGTGGCTAAAATACTTTTTCGAATGAAAACCCAAACAAACTAAAAACATAATGAAAACACACTTTTAGTGCTACTCTGAGGGCCTCGGAATGGATAGTACAGTGAGGTCATGAGCTTCGTGGTAAGGCTGCCTCCGGTGGAGATCTGAGGTCAGGGAGGTAACAGGAGTGGATGTGTCAAGGTCAAGCAGGGCCCTGAAGGCCTTGGGAAGAACTCACTTCTCTTTTGAGATGGAGCAACACTGGGCATGTTGAGCAAAGGAGAAATAATTTTTGTGGTCGACAGAGTAATGCCCCCTTTCCCCAAAATGTCTGTGTCCTAATCCTTGGAACCTGTAACTACGTTACCTTACATGGTAAAAGGAACTTCGCAGACATGATTAAGCTAAGGATCTTGAGATGCGAAGATTATCTTGGATTATTCAGATGGACCCCATGGAATCACAAGGATCCTTGTAAGAAGGAGACAGGAGGGTCAGAGTCAGAGATGTGACAATGGAAGCAGAGGTCATAGTGATGTGGCCATGAGCCAAGGAAAGCAGGCAGCCTCTAGAAGCTGGAAAAGGCAAAGCGCAGTCTCCCCTAGAGTCTCCAGAGGAACACAGTCCTGCTGAAACACCTTGATTTTAGCCCTGTAAAATCCATTTTCTAACTTCTGGCTTCCAGAATAATAAGATGATACATTTGTGTTGTTTTAAGCAACTAAGCTCGTGGTGATTTGCTAGAGCAGCAATAGGAAATGAACACAGTCCTAAGAGGATCACTCTTGTTCTATTGAAAGTAGATCGTAGCGGGTGGGGTAGAAGCGGAACGTGCCGAGGGGAGGCTACTGCCGCTGAGAGAGGTGAGGTAGCCTGGACCAGAGTGTGGGGAGATGAGGGGGTGAAAATAGGGCAGATTTCTTTTCTGCCCAAAGTTCTGGCTCCATTATCTCTTTTCAAATATGTATTATCTGAATACTTCACGAATAGATAAATAAAACGAGGCTCCTATTTTTTTCTTTTGCTCTTTTCGCACTTGGTCCAATAGCCTTTTAGGAGGAATAGCTGAAGAACTGGAGATGTCTTCTTGCAAAGTTTACATTTTACTCCATCTCAGGCGGCACACCACCTCTTCCAAATTCCGTCTCTTTTCAGTAAATGACTGCATCTCAGCTTGGTTAAGGTGCTCGGCGGAATAACTTACCACACTCCGCAGTTTGTATACAGCACAAGTTCCTTTCAGAGTTGCCAGAGACAAGTGGGGATGCCTTTTAACGACCCATCTGGACTTGACTTTCCTTTCCTGGTTTCTGTGACTCTCTAAGCCTCT